AAAAGAAAAGAAACTAACATTTTCATCTCCCCTAGTAACACAGATTTTTTTCGAATAGTGACATAATTTAATAAAATTCTGAGATGAAGTAAAATGAAAAAAGAAAACGAGAGAAAAAAGGTTTTACAATTTTTTTTGTTTAAGTTGGTTTTTTTCTTTTGTAAAGAAAAATCTAATTAAAACACGAATTATTCAATATTCAATTTATCAATAATATTTTACTACTTTTATTTTATTGTTAATAAATATAAAATAATTAGTGATAAATAGTGAATGCTTTACAATAACAAAATTGTAGACAAGATCATATGATACAAGTTAATAAAAGTTTTTTAAACAGTTCAATTTATTAGTTGATCTGAGCTAGACTATTAATGAAAACCTGGAAGCATTAGACAGCAGTTTCGTCCTAGTATGGCACTCTTCAGCCGCGTAAATATCTACACCTGGGACCTGCAGTTTCGCGCGTAATCAGTTAATCTCTAGACTATTGAGCTTGCATCTATAAAGGTATTAAGGAAATGATGGAGAAGATTTGTAGCTTAGGTGGATGATGACTTCTACCTAAAGTTTGTATTGATGATATTGTTTAGAAGAACGATGAAAGCTCCATAACTAAACCATTCAGTTTAGAGAAGAAAAAAACTCCACCAAAAAGGTGTTAATATTTAATTTCGATCAATTCATGATCTTACGAAACCTTTCACTCATTGTTGAAAGTGGATAATTGTATCCACCTGACATGGATTGTACTTCACTGGTCATGACTTCTTACTAGAACTTTAGACGATCCACTAATCGCTAATGAGTACATGATTATTAGTATGAGGATTTGTGAAGATGAATTCAACTCGAATTCAATTGTTAAAATATTACAGTCTCCAATAATCTTTACATCTATGGAATTTTTGTTAGTTAAAAGCATTCATATAGTTTTCTTATTTAAAAATTACATTCAAATTATTCTACAAAATAAAGAAACCATTTGTTCTCTACTTACAGCAATAAAGGTCTGTTTTTGTAAGCAGTGATGGATAGTGGCTAGCAGTGGAGTCCAGGATGCGCATTTCGTCCTACTTGAGACTCGTCAGCTAAATGTACCTCAATTTAAATTCGCCCCATTGCACAAGCAAGTGGATATCAGGACTCAGTAGCTGAGTGGATAAGGCGATGACGTTTGAAGCGAATGGTACTGGATTCGAGTCCAAGAGTGAACATCAGCTTTGAGATGCAGGTACATCCAGTTGACGAGTCTCGAATAGAACGAAACATGCTTCCTGGATTCCACTGACAGCCACTATACATCATTGCTTACAAAAAGCTTGTGAATTAAGGTAATATCGAGGCATACACACAGTATGCATATATGCCAATAACAGAATGATCAATTGCAGTTTTAAACCTCAATGAAAAGATACAAGCCAAGGAATACCAAGTGAATAAAAGATTAATATTTATTTATTTTCCAATAGGGATGAATTAATTTAAACTGATTACATATGTAATCAAACATTATTACGTACCAAATCATTGTCTGTGGTAGGCTAAAATAATATAATATTTCCAAATGAATTCTTAGAAATTAAATTCCATGAATTCATCTTTTTATTATTCACTGTTTATTTTGTTGGGTAAATTCATTTTACATCTGACGTAATTCGTATAGTTTGTTTATATTTCAATGTTACATGTTATTGTAAGCTCGAAAAATAGAATTAGATTATGTTTATCAGTCACAATGATCATATTCATTTAAATAAACATATAAACATGGTGAATACATCAGTTAACCATAATAATAATAATAATAATAATAATAATAATAATAATAATAATAATAATAATAATAATAATAATAATAATAATAGTAATAATAATAGTAATAATCGGTTTTCGTTGGTTTAATTTTACTGAAATCAAAGTCACTATAAGTTAGACAATCATTGAAAACCTAAAAGCACTGTATAGCTGTTTTGTTCCAGTATGGGACTTCTTAGATGTAGGTATCTATGGCTTCATCACCGTGGATTGAATACAGAACCTTCAGTCTTGTATGCAGACGTTTAACCTCTAGATGACCAAGTCATGGCTCAATTGAATGCAAATACAACTTCAATCAATCCATGTTATTATGCGACTGTTTTCCACTGTCTTCGGTGAGTATCTTCTCTACACTAGACACGTTGGAGTTTTTATTTAGTTTCATAATAGAATGAAATGGTAGTCCAGTGCTTTTAAGTTTCAATGGTGTTTTCCATAGATATTAGTGAATGGAGTTAGCATCCATTATCATTTATATGAGCTTATGCACGATCAGGCAGACTTATAGATGCTCTTCAGTATAATACAAGTAAAATATGTTTCTCGGATAAAAATAAAATCAATCATCTTACTAGGAACTAATACCAGTTTGTTTTAGATAACATCGGAAATATTTTACGCCTATTTCTGTGAAACAGTTAACAATAAACCTATGCATTACAGAAGAATAATTCTTTAGAAATTCGCTACTTGATTGATCTACATTCACTGTAAATCACTAGATGTTTAAACACAATAAAATGTCTAGATTAAAAAGTGAAATTGAATGAATGAGAACTTCAAGTTTTTTTCCGAAGAGAGATAATGTTAATCATGTTCAACAGCCGATATTATAACTTACGAACACTTCGTCATTCAATAAACTTGACTACGATAGCTTGTAACATTTGTTTTTGTTGATTTTGAAATCTACTTATATAAAATCTTATATGAAATGTTATTAATACCAAACGTTTTAAACTACGTACATAATAGAGATCATGAACGAATCAATGTTAGACCACTATTAAAAACCTCGAAGTGCCGGGTGGCAGTTTTGCCCTAGTATAGGATTCCTCGTCAGTGATCATCCACGATCCTGCATTCAAGATTCGAACCCAGGACATTATCTTTCGCGTGAAAACGCTTAACCTCTACACCACTGAGCCGAGACTTAACTTTGTTATTGTATAACCTCAACTAATCCACTAGTTACTGACTTTAAGAGGTAATTATCGGAGTTATAGTGAGGAACCGTGACAAGTGGAGCTCAGTCGTGTCAGGTGTGAGACGGTTACTATCCAAAGACAATCGAAGATGGCCGTGCATTATCGTAGATTGGTTGAAGTTAGGTGTTTACTCACGAGACAGAATGTCATGGGTTCAAATCCTGCGTGTGGAAACGTGGATACGCACTGCCGAAGTGTCTCATACTATGGCAAAATGACCGTCCAGTGCTTCCGGGTTTTTAATGGTAATCTAACATTGATCGATTTATGATCTCGATTAAAACCCACCAATCTCTATAACCCTATACTGATGTGCATATAACAGTTTATTAAAGTTAACTACTTAGAAATGTTAAATTGTAAATTGATTCATACAAAATTAAACTCCAATCTTCTGAAGTTTACTGAAAGCATAGATATCAAGCTTTGGAAATCCGACAAATATGTTATAAAAGCAATAGAGATACATTTTTCTTTCCCATGGAAAATTATATTCACATTGTTATATCATTCTTTTTATCCCCAACTCTTTCGTATAGTTTAATTTCATCATTTTCGAAGTTTCTTTTGAAAAACTCATTTATTTCTAATTGGTTAACATTTCCTTTTGTTATTCTTTACTAACACTAACTTATATTTAGTGACTTCGTTATGTCATCAACTCTAATGATTAGTTATTAGGTTGGTGCTCTAGAACTTTCTATCTGATACTGTATTTATCTGAAGTAATATTTTTTTAAATTTCATTAATATTATCGATATCTTAACTTCTTCATAAAAATGTACATTCCCTTTTAATTACTTTCAGTCTCATAAAAATATGTGAATTTCTCTGTGAATTCTGATTTTAAAATATTGTATAGATTAATAATAGTCGATGATAATCTAACGAAATAAGATGAATTCGTGTAAGGCGGCCTGCTTGAGCATCTGGGCTACCTGTTCCTGTCATCTAAATATTTCAACAAGTTATCTATTTTTGTTTGTTTTAATATATCATTATGTCTATTGACCGCATAATCTATCCTGGCGCATTTCTGAAAAGTGTACAACCCTTCGTTGTCAAAGTTACAAAAAACTCAATAAGAGACAATTTAGTTGCTGGTAATATACAGCGAAAAGAATGCACATTATTCAGATGTTCATTTACTGAACTGCTAACATCTAACTGGTGATCACTCAATATTTATCATCAGAATCGACCAAGTAGTAAGAAACGGAAACTTGTTGAAATACTTTGTGCTGAGAATTCTATATTGTACCAAAAATATAATATTGAATAAAGCGTATAATAATAATAATTCTGCTCAAATTTTTATATACAAGGTAAAGAGGAAGGCCGAAGAACACCCTACATCGGGAAATGGAAGCAGATATGAAAAGAATAAATAGCAACTGGAAACAACAGGAAAGAATTACTCAGGACAGGGTAGGATGAACAGTACTAGTGGGTGGCCTATGCTCCCCAACGAGGGATAAGTAAGTACTTCAAGATAAACTTATTTTAACCAATCAATAAACAATAGTCTTGGTGTTATCATTGTTTTTTAAAAAAAAGAAACGGATGATCTATTCTCAGAGTGAGAATTAAAATTCCCTAGAAAAACAATAATGATTGTATATTCAACGGATATATTTTGAAATACGTTCATATATCGGTCAATTAACTAAAAATACTTTTTTTTAGAAAAATGATCAAGTACCCTCCTAATCTGTTATAAAAAAAGGAAAGTATAAAAGGTCAGATAAGGTGAAATGAATTTATTGTACAAGATATAGATAACCCATTATGTCTGTTGACTGGAAGTATTGTTGGCTAATAATAATAATAATAATAATAATAATAATAATAATAATAATAATAATAATAATAATAATAATAATAATAATAATAGTAATAATAGTAATTGTTATTATTATAGAACAGACATTGTAAACATGAACAAGTCAATTTATACAAACTAAATTTACCGAAAATTAAATCCTGAAGCTATTTTAGCATTTGCATCATCTAATCGTCGAAATGAATAAGTTGGATTACAATATTGAACATCCCAATCAAGATCACATTTCCAATCGATATCAATCCCGATTACACCACCCTGTTATTAGAAAAATTGACAGTGGATATAATGAGTATTGTTGGTAATTTATGTAAAATAGATATATTATCATAGTTTACATCAAGTGTTAAAGAAAAAGATCATTCAGAACTAGAAAAAGATAAGTGTAGGCATAAAGAAACTTGGCAGCTTCATAAATGACAACTATAGAATAAAGAAACAATTATTGTTCAGTTGAACTTTTTGTCAGTAATATTGAGTGACCTATAAATATCCTTCTGTCTATGATAACTCTGACGAGCAGTTCACTTTGTGCAATGGATGCTTAGATTTGTTTGCTTTTAACGAAATGCTCTGTGAGGAACTTTAATCAATATTAGCAGAAATAGATGGTGGCTAGCAGTGGAATCCATGACGCGCGTCCTGGCAATATCGAGGCAATCTACACAGGACATACATATGTCAATAAGAATCTGATCACTTTCAGTCCTAAATATCAATGAAAAGATTCAAACAACCGATACAAAATGAATTAAACTTCAATTAATGTTCATTCGAACCAACGTAATCACGGATAGCTTTGATTTCTTTTCGTAATAACAGTAGATTTGCTGTATGATTCATTTATTCAAACAATCATCTGTTACTGATACAATGCTCTAAGATTAGGCCTAACACTCAGGTTTGTATTGAGTGAAGAATGAATGACCTACAAATCTGGTTAGTGATTATATCTCTAAGTAATAATCATCTGGGGAGCGGGACCAAGTCAATGTTACAGTCTTATCAGTAGCCATCAATTAGTCACACACCATTATCATTATATTCATCTATCTATTAACAAACAAAATTTTTGTTTAGATCAAATAACAGATAACACATTTCTATAACAATCATATTACTTACATAAATGACTCGATAAAATGCTACATTAGTAAATACTTTTCTTTTTATTTGTTACCAGTTAAAATTTGAAAATACAATTTTACAAGTGAAATGAATAAAAAAAGGTTATAATGATCAGTAAATTGGAAATTCGTATCTAATTAATTCCATTTCTTACATCAATCATTATTTATTCAATATAAATATTTAAAATTTCAGAACAGACCCGGTTGAACTCCACTGGTCACTACTTCTTACTAGAACTCCAGGAAATACCTCTTGGAGACCGTCACTAGCGAGCATATGTTGATTCATATCAGAAGGGGTATTGTGGATATTATAGTAATTTTAATACTTGAATTCATGAGTCAAATGAAGCTAGACCACTATGAAAAACCCAGAAACACTGGACGGCCGTTACGTCATAGAATGGGATTTCTCAGCAGTGGGCATACACGATCCCACCTGGTGTGATTCGAAGCCAGGACCTGTCGGTCTCGCGCGTGAACGCATAACCTCTAGACCATTGAGTAGGTCGGCATCCAACGGTGTTAATGTCTAACGTCAACCAAAAATTATCGGTGATTGATAAAAATAGAGTTTATTCCTCCGTAATCTTCGTCTATGTATTGATTCGCTTTTAACTCATTAGATTTAGTAAACGCATAGAAAAGATAGCAGAGATTCATCACTATTGCTCTAGCTCCAATTGATTCATAAATCAAACTATTAAAATTACAATAATATCCACAATACCCCTTCTGATATGAATCAACATATGCTCACTAGTGACTGGCTTCAAGATGTATTTCCTGGAGTTCTAGTGAGAAGCAGTGACCAGTGGAGATCAACGGGGTCTGTTATGAGATGGTAACTCATTGAAAACAATGACGGATGTGTCGCTTGATTTTGTGAATTGGTTGAAGTTAAACATTAAAACAGCTGGATGGCGACCGACTAAGTGATATAGAGGTTAGGCGTCTGAAAACGAGACCGATCGTTCCTGAGTTCGAATCTCGCCAGGTGGGATCGTATATGCGCTAACTGGATCATGGACGATCACTGCTAGGAGTCGCACAATAGGACGAAACGACCGTCCAGTGTTCCCAGATTTTCCATGGTGGTCTAGCTTCAATTGACTAATGATCTCAACTATTAAATTTACTATAATATCCACAAAACGCAATCTAGTACAAATATTTAAAACACTGAATTTGTTACACAGATAACTTGTTAAAATCATTTTCAGGGAAATGATTAAAAAATCTGATGATTCTTCCATTTGTCTACTTGAATGTAAGTTATTTAATAGTCAGTGGTGTTCCATTTTGAAACATTGTTCAATGATTAGAATAATAATTTAAAATGATTATCTTTGTTACCCTTGTTCAATTCAATCAATTCGGAAGTATATCTTAAGTATGATTACAGTAGCTACAATTATTGATTTTCTCCTGACACGGTAACTGATTTCTTCTCCTCTTATCATGGTGTTTTCTTATTACGTCTAACTGATATCATGTTATACGTAACCATGATTATTTATTTTATGAAGAAATATATTCTGACATTTTCCTAACGTAGATCAATTGAGTTAGGATATTCTTCAAGATGAAGTTATGAAATTGTGGAAGAGAAAGTCGAGAAAAAAACTAGATTCATAAATACATTTTGACACAATGAAGAGTAATTGAGTAATTTATTTTGTGGGGTGAGGGCGGGGGGGGAATATATTTGTTTAGATAATTAAAATAATATTTTACCAGTTGAATTCATGAATTGATCTAGGCTAAACCACCATTGAAAACGTGGAAATGCTGTATGGTCATTCCGCCATAATATGGGACTGCTCAACAATGCGCATACAAAATGCCGCATGCAGTACTCTAACCTAACACCTTTTGTATCGCGTGCAAACACTTGACCTCTAAACTAATCCAACGGTGTTAATGTGTAACTTCAATCAATCCACTTTTTTCGACAACCGTCCATCACTGTTTTCAGAGAGTAACTGCCTAACAACAGACAGTTTAACTCTATTAGTCACAGCATCTTACTAGAACTTCAGGAAATCTATCTTGAATTTGGCCACTAGTGATTTGGTTTAAATCCCGTGTGTGGGGTCGTCAATAAGCACTATTGAGGAGTCCCATACTGAAACGAAACGGCCGTTTACTGCTTTCAGATTTTTAACGATGATCTAGCTTAAATCGACTCATGAATTCACCTATTAAAAAACTAATATGATCTTCAAAAACCCCCATTCTGATAAATTGTTTTTCCTTACAAATCATCAGGGTAGACTAGTGTATCATTTATTCTGTGTTTTGATCTTAAGATAAAAAAAGACGTTATACTTTCTTTGTGGTCAACATTTGAAAATTTTCAATGGAGTGATATAGTAATAAAGTATACCTTTATTTTTTGACCACATATAGAAGAGATTGATCTCATAGGATTGTTTAAATCAATGTTTAAACGAATAAGTGTCATGGTGTAAACAAAATCATTGTTTCAAATGTTTCCATCTAATTTTGTGTGGGTACAATGAAACATTTAAATTTCGCTTATTTTTAGTAGACTTTATATTTTACGAATAATTGATTTATAGTTGAATACATGAGTCAATTGAACCTAGATCACCATGGAAAACCTAAAAGCACTGGATGGCCATTTGTGCTATTGTGCGACTCCTCAGCAGTACACATCCACCATACCGCCTCGCAGGATTCAAACTAAGGACTTATTGGTTTCGTGCTTGAACGCTTAACCACTAGACCAACAATGGTATTAATGTCTAATTTCTTTTCATCCACTAAATTGAGCCACTATCCACCACTGTCTTCAGTGAGTTACTATCTTACAACAGTTGGTTTATGAATTCGACTATAAAATTACTAAAATCTCCACAAAACCCCCCCTCTGAGAATACTTTATTTACTCAGACAGGAAGTAACAATCAGATTTGATAATACGTTAGTAATAATAATAATAATAATAATAATAATAATAATAATAATTACTATCATTTTTATATAGACTAATCGGAATTATATTTTGTCAAATGAAAGTTTTATACTAAGACTAAATACTGAAAAGAATGATTTCAAATGAATAATCCTATCAATGTATGATGCTTCTTTGACTACATATATACACTATTACTGATTAGATTACGGAGCATTAATTATAGAGTAATAATTTCGTGTTTATATATCATTGGACTATTCGATATTATGCAAAAAAATAATTATAGTTAAATGCTGACTTCCTGTTGGTAAATATTTAATTTTAATTCATATTAGTAGTATTGTAATGAGTAGTATAATCGGTAGGTTATATAAATATATATATTTATATTATTGAATTTAATTATTTTATTGAATGTTCGATTTTTTGTAGAACAATTGGTTTAATTATAAATATAATATTTCATAACTTAATGAATTTTTTTTATTGGCGGTTTATTATTGTTTGATGGTTTAATGTGCTCATTTTCAATGCTATTACTATTCTCTAGCGGATTCATAATAATGAAAGCTATTTCGGATTCAATAAATTTTAATCTTTGAAAAGTATAACTCCATTTATAGTTCTTCCACAGTTATTGTTGATCTCAAGTTTGGGTAAAGGAAAAGGATCAGGCATAGGAGTCGGCAACCCCATCCCGTAGAAAAAAATCTTGCTAAACCAAAACAACAAAAATCGCCAACCAGATGAAACAAGTTAAACCATTTAAACTTTGCCCTGGGAGTTGAAAGAAGATAGTAGTTTGAAAAGTATATTGGAAAAAAAATGGACAGATTAATTTTATTTTTAGAAAAAATATTGTTTTATAAAGATGTTGTCACAATGAATACCTACATATTAACATTACACCTATGATGCAGTGATGACTTTTGAAGTCAGGTATAAAGATAATAATAAATAGATCACTTGAATTCTGAAACATAACGTCGTTCAGTTTCGAACAATAAAAAAACGATAATTTAAAGTCGGTAATTTCAATATATATATATATATATATATATATATATATATATATATATATATATATATATATATATATATATATGAAAAGGTTTTGTGGAGATTTTAGTAATTTTAATAGTTCAATTCATGAGCCAACTGAAGCTAGATCACCATGGAAAACC